CCGGCGTGTTCATGGACGGTGGTTCAGGTCAACCGGCGGCTGATACAGAGATGACGGAAGCTACCGGCGGTGTTTCCGCCGCGGCTCCGTGTGACCCTTCTTCTCAGATGCCTGGGATTGAGAATATTCCGGCGACGCTTAGCCATGGTGGTAGGTTTATTCAGTATAATATATTCGGTAACATCTTCGAGGTCACCGCTAAGTATAAGCCTCCGATCATGCCTATTGGAAAGGGTGCTTATGGAATCGTTTGGTAATAAAAGTTTCTCGATTCTTTTGTTGTCAATTTTGATTTAATTGGAAGAGGAAAAATTTTGATTTTGATTATTGGGTTTGGTAAAGTTGCCAACTTTGATCCGAAAATTGATTGATTTATGTCTTGTTCCTTTTTAATCATTTCGAGCTCTAATTTGATTGTTTGATCAATTTGATTTATCCTTTTGTGTTCTTTGTTTTATTTGGTTCTTTGCAGTTCTGCTATGAACTCTGAAACAAATGAGAGCGTTGCAATTAAGAAAATTGCAAACGCTTTTGACAATAAGATTGATGCAAAGAGGACTCTCCGTGAGATCAAGCTTCTTCGTCACATGGATCATGAAAATGTCAGTTTTTTTTGTTTCCTTTAATTTGATAACCATTAGTTAATGAGAAATTGTTTAGATTTTGTTGTATATGTTAATTTAGGTTTGTGAATGAATGTGTTGCAGCTGGTTGCTTCATTTCCCTTTTAAAAAGATTTTGAGGAATATACATGAATGTCGATAGTATTGTGCGTGCATTTGTTTCGTTTCCATCTACGTCAAATGAGCTTTGACTCGCAAAATATAACTTTGTCTTTTCGTGTGAATTGTGATATGTAGACCGTTTCCAACTAATGAAACAATGACTATCTGTTATCAGATTGTTGCAATCAGAGACATAATACCTCCACCGCTAAGAAACGCTTTCAATGATGTTTACATCGCATATGAGCTAATGGACACTGATCTTCATCAAATCATCCGGTCAAATCAAGCATTATCCGAAGAACATTGCCAGGTTTTGAGTTTTGAGATTGTTTTTTTTTTCACCTATAAACCGACTTGAAACTCGGACTAACTCATTTCCCTTTTTCTTTTGTGCAGTATTTTCTTTACCAGATCCTCCGTGGATTGAAGTACATTCATTCCGCGAATGTGCTACACCGGGATCTAAAACCTAGCAACCTCCTCCTGAATGCAAACTGCGACCTAAAAATCTGCGATTTTGGGCTAGCTCGAGTCACTTCTGAGAGCGATTTCATGACTGAATATGTTGTCACGAGGTGGTACCGTGCACCAGAGCTGCTTTTAAACTCCTCTGATTATACTGCAGCTATAGATGTTTGGTCTGTTGGCTGTATTTTCATGGAGTTAATGGACCGTAAGCCACTCTTCCCTGGCCGAGATCATGTTCATCAGCTTCGCTTGCTCATGGAGGTAAGTAGTAACATTTCTAATTAGCTCTGTTGGATGAAACAAAGGCTCGAAAGTGCATGGTAAACAAACATATTGGTACAATTTTTTTTTTTTTGCAGCTCATTGGAACTCCATCAGAAGAAGAACTTGAGTTCTTGAACGAAAATGCAAAGCGATACATAAGACAACTTCCAATGTATCCTCGCCAATCCATCACCGATAAGTTTCCAACTGTGCATCCTTTAGCGATAGATCTTATCGAGAAGATGCTAACATTTGATCCTAGACGGAGAATCACAGGTTAGTCTTCAACCTATGATACCATTTAACTTGCAAAAAAGGGGACTTTATGAATAGGGGGA